ACTGGACCTGAGGGCCGGACTCGGGGCTTCCAATTCTGAGCAATTTGGATGCAATCAGGTTTGAAAGTGGCACTATTTGAGCCATTTTGCTGAGGGAGGGTTTTTCAAAATTTTTCTGGAAAGGGACATTTTCTGCATTTTTGGGGTGGTCTGCTTCTGGTGAAAATTTCTCAAAAATTCATTGGTCGACCCCCCAAAAATTGAAAGGAAAATGAAAGAGGACATGTGGAACATCATTTTTCTGTGCAGTCTGAACACCTGTGAGAGTTGTGAGTATTTTTAAAATATTTGTGAAGTATGAGTATTTATCACTGCTGTCTATGGGAATTTATTTGTAGTGGTGAACCCTTATCGTCCTATTTCACAAGCAAGGTCAAATTGTACTATTTTTATTTGAAGGGATCTACATTGCTTTAAAGCATACCTCTCCGTCCAAATACAATGAAAATCACTCAAATAAGAAATTCTTAAGTCATCATGGTCTTTCAATCAGCGCAATAACTTCACTCGCTACAATACACAGTAAATGATACGTTCATGTATTTTTAAAATGCCACCACAACCCCTCCTAAAAAATTACCTACATCTTCCGTGTACAATGGAATATGGTGTATCCTCATTTTATGTGAATGGGGGTCACGTGGGGCTAAATTCGGCTTTCTGATTGGTCGATAGGTCGTCAATGAGAGGCAAAATACCCAAGTTAGACGGGCTGCAGTATTCCAAGTCATAGCTGATCTGCCTGAGGAAAGGGTAACAGCAACATTGTATTTCACCAGTGTTGGCATGGAGATGATCAGGCAATTGGCAGTGTCACCTACCAGACAAGCAGCAAAACCTCCTATTTCGAGAGATGTCTGGATTGTTCTCTAAATTCTCTTCACGGTTGTCCATGTGGAGGTCATTGGGTCAATGGACACCTAAAATTTCTGCCTTCCTACTAACAGCGGATTTGGGGCTTTAAGGGGACCGAGGTACCGCACTGAGGTACCGTACTAGGTGCAACATCGACGAGATGGATCTTAAACAGGTGGCAGCCTAACTAATATAACAACAGCGCTCTTGGGTGTTTGATTTTGATTTTAGAGGAGCGTGGACACACAAGATCAGCACATTTGAAAGCATCCTTGATGTGATGTTTGTGTAAGTCCGAAAGCACCGGTTGACATATGAGGTACCCGTTACATTCACGGGCCTCAGGTATCTCGTCGATTAGGTACTATATTGTCAGAAGATGATGACCCTCAAGCCACAGCAACTCTAGCCACCTCTAAGCAACTTTGCAAAAGACTATCTGTGTTTCTCTAACAAAGAGTACTTCAGAGCCTACAGCCCAGATGCACCTGGGCTATCACACACTTAATTGGACATCAGCAAATGACACCCGGTCCTTCTAAATGACAAGGAACTCCCGAGGTGTCAGTGACCTTTTGCTAGTGTTTTAACGAGATCCACCTGAGCGACGATGGAAGAAAGAGTTCAGAAGGCTGAAGTCAGTCATTGTCCGCACAGGTGAGATGTGTCAAACCTACCTGACACCAATCTCAGAGCATGCGCTCATGCAGGAATCTTTCTTAGATAGTTAAACGGGGATTGGAATGTTAATTGTCTCACCAGCTGTAACCTCATATGGCACTCTTGATTCATCAGATCAAAGTCAAATGCCATGCTGGCATCCTTACCCTATGGCGTGCAAATTTTTTTTAAATTTAATCCTAATTAATCTTAATAGTCATATCTCTATTCTCAATAAAGATATCACTATTTATAATAGAGATATCTCTAATCCTAATAGAGAATTAATAATAGGGATATCTCTATTATTAATTCTCTTTTTTACGTCCTGTTTTGATAGAGATATCTCTATTATGTTTCCGGTCCCGCACACAGGGTAAACGGATAGGTCATTGTAAAGTAACGCACAAAGTTTCACTGAGCCAGAGGGTTGTGTAAAGTTTCCTAATGTAAAGGACACGGTTCAAAACCCATGAAGATAATAGATTTTTAAACACTAAACGTCGAGTGGGACCTGCTGACCTCGAAAGTGGTAACTTAATAGAGAGATCTCTATTCCTAATATATCTGCTGCACAATAAAGATATCTTTATTAGGAATAGCGATATCTCTGTTCCGTGAATAAATGTTAATTTGGCACGTTCCGGGATTTAATGTTAACTTTGCACGTCATACTACAGCGGAAAGCAATGTCTTGTGCACAGAGCTTAGCCTGAATTTATCTAAATAGAGATATATTAAGTACCTGGACACATCACAGACAATTTGGAATGGTTTTTACTCTTTTTAGAGAGGTTTTATAAGAAACTGAAACCTTCGAATACTATTTCACTATTCTGAATTTAGAAAGTGGTCTCGTTTGCTAACAAGCCTTCTCCAGATAGATATAGTTTCACGTTTGTAGTACTCATGTCCTCCTCGTCTGTGTAAAAACGAAACCATTGTATTTCAAATGCACTCATAAAATTCTTTAGACCAGAAGGAGCAGAATGATGATGTGTTAATTATTCTCCCGAAAAGTGGCGAGGGGTATGATTCACCTCGAAATCCCTGGAACTTTACCCCCATCTATAAAAAAGAGGAAAGTGTATTCTTTTAAAATGACTCTTCACTGGTTTTCGCTCTTTTCGAAAGCGGTCTTTCTTTCACTCTTTGCATTTAGTGACTATGGAAAGTGAAGATTGAAAGAGACAGGTAAATGATAGTAATTACCTTCATGTGTGGCATTATCCAGTTCTTCAAAGAATCGGCAACATTGTTCGTAGTCTTTCTCCGGTATAGTCACTTGGATGGACAAGTCAGACTTGTCTTCTGTTGTCAGGTCATCCGTGACAAAAATCTCTGTCAACTTCTTTGCCAGTTCTCCAGTGGTGTACATAGCCCAAAGCTTTTCCAACCCAACGCGGGTCTTGATGCGAATGACAAATACGACAGATTTGTATGTCACATCTTCAAGCTCCAGGTCCCATAGCTTGAGGGCAGCAAAAAATTCATGCATCACGTACGATTCTCCACATGTTGATAGTAAGTCTTTCACTAATTCTCGGAAAAGAAGAGTCATGGTGCGGCTCTTCATCCCGTTCTTTAGCAAGTCCGTCTCTATCTGCATCCCTGGGAACACTGAAAAAGATATGTCACAGCATCAGAAGTATTTCTACATTAGGATACCAACAAAACAGAGTATGGGCATCCGGATTAGAGCGAGTGCCATTAACATTTGATAATGCCAGCTGAGATATGATAATGCTCGCTGCGTTAAAAAGAAACTTTGGCACATTGATCTCTATTGGACAAGAGTCTGTGTCCGAGGCAGCATTATGCAGTTTCCTTTGGACAGTTTACACAAGGAATATACCCTGCAATGGACGGGGGTGTTCGGGAAAATTAAAGTGAATTCTTTATTACAAAACCGTAGGAAATCTATCATGAATTGAATTGTTTCGACTCTGAATAACTAGGTACTTGTGAATGGGAATAAAAATGTGCTTGGTTTGTCTTAAATTAACGGTCAGGAAAGGCTCAGGTGAATGGACGCGACCAATTGCCGAGCCACATTAAAGGCATATTTAATACCGGCCTAGCACGTATTTAACTCACACGTCATAAAGACCTGAGACAGTTGTTGTATTCTTATTAGTCGAAAAGCGTCACGTGACCGTGTATTAACATTTGATAATGCCCCCTGAGAAGAGCTGGAACATGGATACAAGAAAGTTTATTCGGTTCCGAATGGGCAGGAGTCTGTGTGCACGCGACGTGCGCGCGAAGTTCACCGAAGGGGATAGTATTGTACACTTTTAAAGGAGTGTACCATAAAATGGGGGTGTACGGGAAAATGAAAGTAAAATTTCACACCAAACCATTGGAAATCTATCATAACGTTGACTTTTTTACTGAATATATTTATCTCTGAAGGAATTTTATGAATGGGAATAAATACGTGCTTGGCCAGACTTTAAGTAACGTTTACGACGTTGATCAGAAGAACGAACACTGATATTGCAGCTTTGACATCAGTCGCGTCCATTCTCCTGGGCCTGTCTTACAGGAACGTTTAAGACAGAACAAGCATACATTTATTCCTTTATTTAAACCCTTCACTTCATCCTGCATTGTTTTGCATTCCATTATCTAAGCTTTGCCAGTAACAGTCATTAAAAACAATAAAAGCTGGGCAGATGAAGTATGTTATCACACCCGATCCGACTACCCACTGCTACCTATAAGTGAGGCCTGTGCAGCATAATAGCCTGAAAAAACTGCGACGCTAATACATTTTCGTATGATGCAATACAGTATGCCAATTTATAAGTGAGGCTAGCCCTGTGACACGTCCTATTTCGATTTTTACATGGTTGCCGGAGCTGCTCTTTTAGAGAGGCTGTATCATTTCTCGGGTTTCAACACCCTCAGTCCTTCCTAAAAATTTTCAAATACTTCAGGTGTTGTACCCTATCCTCTACAGCTTTTAAAACCCACCAAAAGTACATCACAGTACAGTGGTGGCCGTTTTCCCAAGCTATCCCGATTTGAAGGGGGGGGGCTCGCCACGCGCCAGCCAAGCCACACCACCACAACACCCCCCCACCACCACCAACAAAATAACACTTCAAAGACAGCCAAAAGAGGCCTCTGATAAGTTCCAGACATCTGTCACTGATAAGAAACTTTCCCCTGCCTGGCCCAGGCACTGTTTGTGCGAATAATTCATTATATTGTACATAAGAGGCCACTTAGCACACAGTCTTATGGGAGTTGGCTGGAAGCTGGCTAGATTTTTTTTTTTATTTTTTTTCTGGCTAGGGGATGCCCTGGCTTTAAAGTGACTAAACCATGTTTTTCAGCATGAACAGTGGTAGGATACGATAAATAGTTTTTGCATTTGAGAGTATGTGAGAGTTAGAGCATTGCTATTTTGCTGTACAGGCCTTGCTTATAAGTAACGGTGGGTAGTGGGATCGGGTATCGAAATATTATATTTCCTATAATGATTATCTCGCCTCCCCCACATCAAAATTGTTTGGTCCCCTCTTCGAGATGATTATTTTAATACTTGAAGTAATTTTAAGATATTTCAAACTCTTCAGGAGAGGGAGTCTTGGAGCAAAGGTTTTGATCCTCAAGGCCAAAGCTCTGACCCTTAAAGCGAAGGCAAATGCCCAGACTTTGACCCTCAAGCCTTAAGACTAACGCCTAGGCTTAACCCTCCAGGCTGAGGCCAAGGCCTCAAGTTGTTTTTGTATCGAGTTGAAACTTAAAATGTCATCTCTTCAGAACTAAAAATTTTACTTCAAACCGATGATGCATTGTGGAGATGATTATATAAGACAGCTACTTTTCTAAGACACGCAGCAATCACGCACCTGTGATTACTCCGATTAACACATCTCATAAGACCACTGAAAATTGCCTATGGCATGAGGATACTGCACTGAGCTGAGTAGAGTTATGTACCGCACAATTAAATATGTCTCTGAATCATAGCATGAACTTCAACTAAAATTTTTAGCGGCAACAGAAACACTGTCTGTTGATACCGTTTCTGATTATTATTTCGGGAGAACGTGAATGCTACATTTGAGTTACAGTTTGGGGGACATGCTGCCTTAAAACTATTTTTATTTACAGAGATGGAGTTGACAACTCTACAGTGACAAGGAAACTGAATTCTGTTGATGATGTGCTCAGGATCAGACCAAGAAGAAAAGAATTCTGATTATTATTTCGGGAGAACGTGAATGCTACATTTGAGTTACAGTTTGGGGGACATGCTGCCATAAAACTATTTTTATTTACAGAGATGGAGTTGACAACTCTACAGTGACAAGGAAACTGAATTCTGTTGATGATGTGCTCAGGATCAGACCATGAAGAAAAGAAAGTTATGATTTTACCCACACTGTAATTAGCAAAAACACCATTTCCAGGGGACAGTGTACTAAGAGGACGATAAGCAATCTCCAACACAGATCAGTGATGTTTTATCTACATGTATTGCATAAACATGCACTGTTGCAACTTAAGAATAATCTCCCTGGCCTTGTCGCCACAAGCACAATTATAACACATAAAATGTAAAATGTAAAATGACTATAGCTTTGCATAGTTCATGTTAGAAATCTACATGTGAACAAATTTCAGGTGTGTTTAACATTAATTGAATACTGCAGACTTTGCAGACAGCTCAAAACTGACCCGGCGGTTTATATGTAAGTTGGTAAAACAGCAAATTTCAAACTAATTTAATGGGAAAACTAAAAATCACAGGGTCTTGAAGAGCAAGGCTCTAAAAATACAAGACATCCCTAAAAGGCAACCCTCTTGTTCTCAAGCCTTAAAGCTAAGGCCAATTCCCTAAAATCAAGCCTTGAGGCAGCCTTAAAGCCAAGGTTCAAAATCAAGGGACGACATCACTGAGAGAGGGTACACTGATATTTAGCAGAATGAATACCAATAAGCAATAGAGCCTGAAAGTAAAAAGGCCCCCGCAGCAAGCTTCCTCGCGCGGTCCGCCAATGGGGATTTTATATAAGGCCATCCAATCACGTTCGATGATTTCTGGAAGAATGATTTTTATCAGAAACAACCCCCAATCATGTTGGAACTTTACCTACGTCTTCTTGAAGTAATATTTTGGAAAAGCCACCTGGAGATGGGTAAAAAGTGGGACTTTACTAACGACCTCTTGCGTCCTGCGACATCGTGCCTAGGTCTCCTCAAGCTTACGTGAAAAAGAGAATGCACAACAATGCAAAGATTACCCACCTGCAGTCGATGGGTTCCGGATTCCGTTGAGTTGACATCATTCAGTTGTAAGCAAAGGTTAGATAAAATATTAGAATCTTTTGTAAACGAAGATTTTCACTGGACGTTTACTGACAGACCACTATAAAATTTCAAATAATAAATGTTCCTTTTAGACCACCGCATTGGACTGTTCTCTATGTATTTAGGATTTTCGGAAGTGATGGGTCAATTTTCACAGGATATCACTCATTTAGGTCAGGTAATTTTTCAGTTTCTATAAATCGATATACTAAAAAACATTTTCCGAAACCCCTTTTCTGAGTTGGAGTTTTTAAGAAGTAACTGAACCAAAAAAATTAGAAATTCTAAACTCTTTACAAATGATTGTTACTATCCAAGGGACCCGCAGGTGCGCTACCGGGCGTCAACTTTCAGGAGCTATAGAAAGGAATTAAGTTTTACCGTTTTCCGAGCTCTAAAAGAGGTTCGATGTTGACCAAAACTGTTTTGAAATGGAATGGACTTTGTAAATCTATACTCTATACGTAAGTTGGAAATAAATGGACAGAATTGGATCAAATCTGCAGCACCAATTTCCGCTCTGGGTAGAGTTAAGAATGCTGGACACTATTAATACCCCTCCCCATTATCCACAATCAGAGGGAGGTAACTGACAGATTCAGACCTTAGTTACATAGCAAGTCTTTAATTGCATGAAAGAAATTAACAACCAACCCCCTCCCCAAAATAATGATTGTATTATAATTGAAAATACTGCAAGAATTGACTCGACCTATGAAGACAAATAACAAAGGCACATGGCTTAAAGTGTTCTATTAGCTGCAATGATTACCGGATTGAGACGCCACCAGGTAGGTAGCCAAAATGGACTGTTCTATTACACAGCTTTGTGAGCCATTTGATTGTCACAAGCTGAAGGCTACTGAGTGTTATGTACAACAAAGACTGTCCAACCTCTGAAAAATAATTTTATTGAAAAAAAAAAATATATATATATTAATAAATAAATAAATATTTATGTCATGATGTCATGATGACGTCATCACGTAATTTATTATCAAATTTCGAATAAAAACCCATATGAAATCAATCAACCGTGGCCGCCATTCGGTTTCCAGCAAGTTCTAGGATATATAATATGTGGTTTAAACCAGAAGTAGGCTTATTGTTTAAAAGTGGTAAAAGCCATTAAGTTTTTTTTTACGGAATGAGTCTGTCGGTGTTAGTGCTGAGTTGAAACCCTGCTTATATCCTGGAGAAGTAGTGCTTTAGGCAAATATTGAGCATATTTAGTGATGATGACGTCATCAGGAGACAAGTCACGTGACATTAAAGGGGATCTCTTCAAACCTCGAAAAGTACAGGTCCGATGAGGTTTAAACTTTGTGTGTGGCTGGAAATGGAAGGGTTTTAGACCCAAATTGATCTGATTTGATTCTGATCTCATCTGGTGACAAGTCACGTGACATTAAAGAAATACAATTCTTGTAACTGGTATCACATCCACTCGTGATGACTTCAACAGTCGAAAAAGTCGTATATGTTATCTTGAAGTAAGTATTATATTTTTTAAGCTATTGTGAGAAGCTCCACAAAGTACAAAGCAAACTCTCAATTGTGAGAATAATATCCCGTGACAAGTCATATTAGATTATCTTCTGAAGTTGACATCCAATTGCATTGGTTGAAACTGATTATAAATGAAACTTTTTCGGGGGTATATGTCACGTCCAGAATACTAAATTGTTCATTTTTACTCTCTCATAGTCTGAGGTTTTTTCATCACAATTGCCAATACTTATTTTGTGGGTGTAACAGTCCCGAAACAGCTCTGTGTTTGTACTTGTTTACAAACACTTCTCTCTAGTTTAACTTGTAACTCTTATCAATAAACTAATAGAAGACATCACTTACCCTGCAGAGTTTTAGTCAAATCCACTCTCCCCGCTTTCGTAAGAGCTGCACATAACCTCTTAATTTGTTGTTCAGTATCATCGTCTTGCTTTTGCATCCATGCTACGAGCATTTTGTAGCCTTGCATAACGACCGTCGTTTGGTTGTCGCTTTTGAATCCTTCAATAACACCACTTGTAAATCCAAGCTGTATAGCCAGCTTTTCCCACTGTGGACCAAGCTCTTCTGCGAGCTCAAGCATGATCTGCTCACTTAATTTGAAAGCAGGTACTGCAAGAGATATTACAAAGAATGTCCCAGCTCTGAAGTACAAGATCTCTTCTTTATTTTACCGTACAACTGAAATTTCCTAAGTAGACTGTGCTATTTCCTCGTGTACGCGTCATGTTAAGTCAAACAGTAATTACAGAAACGAAAACGTGAGTTATCAGCCTCACCATATATAGCCGCTTATGCTTTCACCCGCAGAAACTTTTCCAATCTGTGTTGTATCATAGTCTAGTTATCCATACATTAGAGGAAAGGTTACTTGTAATTTCAACCCAGGCAGTGTAAGCTACAGCTAAATTTCCAAATAATGGAGGGAGCAATTGCATAAACATCCAGTATTTTTAGTAACCCTAGTAAAAGGTAAGTGACCATCTTGCGCAGGACGTACAGAGGTGAACCACTATGAAAACCTGATGCGTGTGCATGCAAACAACAAATGAAGTTAGCTACGTCATGCAGATATGGGGAGCAATTGAGTCCACCCTTTTTGCAGGCACGGGTCTCTCCACTTATATTCCTGTTCTTGCTGTTGATAGAGTAAAATCTTTAATTACAATTGAAGATGCTTTGAAATCATACTCTTGCCAATAAAAACACAGCGTGAGAAGAGACATATCCACTCTGAACTAAAAACAATGCTTACTTACTCGCGCTTGTAGACAGCTTGGTGGAAGTATACGAGGGCTGAGTGCTAACCTCCCCCCTTAATGCATCTCCAGGTGCTTGGGTGATCTGACCTACTAACTGCGCGGTGGCAACACCAGTATCGCCAGCGTCACCATCAGACTTGGAATCAATGACGCTCCTGGATACAACTCCTGATGCTCCAGTGATCAGACCTGCTGACGGCCCTGTGCCATCACCAGCATCGCCCAAAGACTGAGTTCCAAAATTGCTCCCCGACACATTTCCACCTGCGCCAGCAGAAGACTGAGTTTCAATTTCGCTCCCGGATACAACTCCATATGCTTGGGTGATATGACCTGCAGGCATCCCGGTGGTAACACCAGCATCACAAGCGGACTTGATTTGTCCAAATTTCTTTTGCTGGGGTAATTTTGTCGTCCCGCTTATGTTCACTTCACCATATGTGCAACAAATAACTACTGAATCAAATAGATGTTTACCCTTTGACATTCATCTCGCCGGTTCCAAAACAGATTGATTCCATGGTGTACCCGAGAGCCTTTATCGGACATTCATCTCATGAAAAGGAAACGCTTGGGCAATAGTTGCACTATTAACAATCACATAATTCTAAATAAAAAGTGGACCATTTGCAAGCTCAAAGAACAAAAACATCGCTCAACGTCAACGATGGAGTAACTTATAGGCCTGCAACTTGATCTTGATTAGTGGACTTGCCTGATGAAAGCAACTATAAAAGTCAGATTAATAAGCAATGTTGTAATACCGTCATCCTTGAGATCATCACTGCCAACCGCCGTTAACGAGTCGTCTTCTCCAGCCTGCTTTGGCTGCATTTTTGTCTGACTGATTGCATCCTGTCTATTTCCTGTGCAAAATTATAGAATCAAGAGATTTTCATGTTTGGAAATTTTTCGTAATACTTCTAATAAACTTTTCTTCCCAATCAAAATAATTTACAAATGCCCTCAGTGCCCAAGCCCTTTTTGCCCAAGCCCTTTTTACTCAAATTAGCCCAAATTACCAGCCTGGTCCTGTTTCAGACTTTCCCCCTCATTTGATATCGGTGACGGTGTTTTTAAGCTTTCGTCTTGACAGGTTTCTGAAAGATGAGTCAATGAAAGAATTGGCATATTACCCCTAATTGAATGTATCACCCAGCTTGCATATTCATGTATTCATCTGGATTATTTAATCGAACGCCAAGTCGTAGTATATTTCAATTTCTCTGGAAGGAAAGCATCTTTCAAACGAGAGGGTCCTCATATTCAACTTGGAGAGCTTGTTATTTGCTGGGTTCATTCGGCTGGAGCAAAACGTTTTAATATCTATTTTAAATAATCAACAAACCTTTCGCGCAAATGATCAAACTCGATCGAAATGGACACGTTTATCATAGGAAGAGGTATTTCTTTAAAAAATCGTAAAGATTTCACACAGGCTCATCACCTGGTATCAACAGAGCCTGCTCAAAAAGCCCGATGGATATCAACGACTCCCTCAGCTTCTCAAGCCCTGCTTCTCGGTTTCCTTGCCTACTCCACCAGGAAAGTAGCATCTGGTGGCTACGCTCTTTGTCGCTTTCAATGAGATCTTGGAAGTTCTTGATTTCTGATTCTTCAATTCCCAGAATTTTGGCGAGTTCTATCCAGAATTCTTGAACTTTAGAGGACAGGTCACGCAGCAATTGGTCATCACCTTGGCATTTGTATTTCAAATCAAAATAAGAGAACTATCTTTTGACACTTTCTTTTATTTTATTCAATTTAGACATAGGACAAATTACATGAGGAATACTGACCCGAATCTTGTTGTTAAAGAAAACAGGTGGTCCAACATCATGCAACAAAGCAGAACTTGATACTTCGACAACATTTCTGGAGTGGCAATATTCAATTCTGCATTTTCTTATTTCATTGCATTGTTGTCGAACAATTTCTTTTAATTTTTAAAATGGAAATAAATTGTTCGACGGTAAATTACTGTCTTAGTGAAAGTTAAACGTTTATTCAGACAAGAGAAGGACCAAAGCTATGTGTTCAACACTCCAATCGCAACACTCCAATCTTCTGTCGGATAAGTATGGGGGCTCTTCAAAAAGACAACACCAATGTACAGACTTTATAAAATGCATCTTGTTAAGGTAACAAAATTTTTTGAGAGTCAGTATTCGTTTCACCATAGTAGTTGGGCTGACCATACTACCGGGACGGTATGTCAGGCGGCCATATTGACGGTCATTCGAATTTCATCTTGGAAAGTGGTTTGATCAGTTACCTTTTGGTCCACCACCGCGTAAGCCGTCAGTTGACAAACGAAATAAAACATTCTCGTCCTGTTGAATTCCGCAGTCACTCAGTGTTAGCAAGTCACAGAGCTGGCAAGAGGTTAAAAGAGCAGAACTGGCATCTATAACATAAAATTTCCTAATGACAATGGTCCGCTGTTTACGTTGAACAAGCAAAGATACTTCTGTCAGTCTTAGTATTAAAAATATGAATTTCTACTAACACTAAATAAAGATTACAAACTAACATGTGCGTGGAGAATAGAAGTAGGCCTATATCTACCTGGAAGTTACGACAATTTCTGATGATGTACAAACACTGATGCTGGGGCAGGACACCGATTTTCCTGTGTATTAATTTTTTCAAGGATGAGATGGATGCCTCAGGATCCAGTTGGAAACAAAATGTCCTCGGTCCACGAAGGAGGGGATTGCCGATAAAGATCTGCAACTTCTGTTTCACATATCTGAAAATGAAATTCTAACATTCAGTTCGGGTGATACATTCTAAAGTGAAGGAATCATTTCTGAAAAAGCTTTCGGGAAGAACTAAATCAAAGTAACTGCAAATCATTCGAAGGGAATATTACATGAAGTGTTCACAATGATTGCATTTGATAAGGTCAGAACAATGCCATATTTTACTGGAGAGCCTGAGGTCCATCAGTTTTAAGATCCTTCCCTTTTAATTGAGTCTGCGCCTCGGAAGTTGTTGCTCCTTTTGGTTTGTTCTGTTCCGCCGCTTTTGTGTCTTTATGTTGCTCTGACTGGGACCCTGCTACTTTGTCTCTGGACTGGCAAGAATCTGGTAACATAAAGAGATTTCTATTTAGACTCTTTGGCAATAAGTAAAGCTGACTGTTACAATGAAGAAGACTTTTCACTGAAAATTTTAAATTTGATCAAGAAAAGTGACACATCATTGAGAGGTTTAAAATAATTTTTACATCCAGCAATGCCTATTTGCTTACCTGGTACGTTTTGAGCTAAATCAGTGAGTCCAACGGTGGTCAGTGCTTGTCTCAACTTTTGAAATGCTTCGTCTCGATCTCTTATCTTTTTCCGCCAAGTAAGTAGCATCTGACGGCTTGCCTCAGAGGTGACCCTGATATTGGCTTGGATTTCTGCAATTTCGGCATCTTCGTATCCCAGGTGTTTTGCAAGTTTCCTCCATGACGATCCAATTTTCGACGACAAGAGGCAAACGTACTCTTCGTCGACCGTTGTGTTTTCTGCCAATAAAGTAAATTCTATTTATATTTACTTATTAGAGTGCGCAGTAAATAATATCATGTTGTTTGTCTTTCATTGTTTAGAATTTGTATAGAATTCTTGTAACAGTTTCAGTTGCTTACCAACAGCTGGTAATAACCCGGGCTTTTTCAAAAAAAAAATGGCGTTACACGACGCTTGCCGGTAACACATTATAATATGAACCTATTTTATAACCTATTCAGCAGCAGAGTTGGCACAGGGTAGAGAGATCTACTCCCTCATAGCGGTTGTTAAGGGAATAGCATAAACAAATCCCATATTTCACTCTGACTAAAAGGTTTTTCTCGTTGTCTTTTTTCCTCAGTGTTTGTCCTGTACTAAGAGATAAATTTTCAAGTTTAATATCCAACCTTAGTGTGTGGCTTTGAAGAACAATCACTGCAACGTGTTATGGATGTTGAGCTTCATTTGACACAAACATCTCAAAATATGAACATATTATATTACTTCAAGGTTTTGACTGCCTCGCTTATTAAAAGTATACTCTATTTGAGCCGATTAGCGCCGCCATTAGTGGCGTTTCATAATTTAAGTCTTTCAATCACCTGTCATTTTTTACAAATTAAAAAATTACACAAGTAGTTTGATACCCCTCGTATAATAGGGGAAATTTGTATACATCTTCAGAAGATCATGGTCAAAGGGGCAATTTTAATGAATGTGACTAGACGAAAAGGCCGTGAGCAAAGAATCGAAAATATGACTAGACTTCGACTCCGTCCGTTTTTTTTTTACTTAAACTGACATTTCTACACTAAAGCATTTACCTTTTGATCCATTTTGCGCGGCATCATGAGTTGATAGCGATATGATGTCGTCTTTATCAATGCCATTATCGTGAAGTGTTAGCAAATCACAGAGCTGACAAAGTAACCAGTCCAAAGGATGTTAAACAGCATAAAGGGAATGAACACTGATGTCCTTTTTCGCCTTTGGCTTGGGTATATATCAGTGTCCCTTCTCAAAGAACAAAAAGCCTCTGAGTGTTTCTTTTGAAGTACTTCCTCTGCAGGGTAATGTTCCTTGAGGCAAGTTTCGAACGAATCCCCGAAACCGAACTGAATCCAAACTTCGCTAGGAGTTCACTTTGCAAGAGTTTTCCCCCAGGTGCAGTTTCCCACAAAAAAATCAACTGTTCACACTAAGCCAACAACTACAAAATTTTGACTTTTGCCCAATTTCTACGACAGTATTATACCCCACAAACTCCGATCCTTTCATGTTTGAGGCTGAGACAAAATGTGCTCGACTCTTCAACTGAAACAAGACTTTATATCTACCCAAATGTCTCGGCGGATGTACAGACGTTGATGCCGAGGCTTGACACCGAACTTCTTGCTAATCAACCCTTTCAAGGTGGAAATGGGTGTCTCGGGATCCAGCTCGAAACTAAGGGTCTTTGGTACGAGTGGGAGGTGGGCCTGGACACAAAACTGAAGCTTCTGCTTCGTACTTTTGGTGGCTCTGTAATACAACATATACCAATAAATAAAGAGCTGAGCAATTGGTAGGATATGACGAGAAAAGGCTCCATTTGCAAGTGCAGTCTCACTCCGACTTAGTCATCCGCACTGAAGGCAAATCCCTCTCACTGCTCTTACCGTTATGGCATGTGCAAAAAAAGCATGGCCAATTTTTTTATTCGAATATGTTGGAATTCTTGAGCAGGGTAAATTCATAGTTGTAACAATGACATTTACACTTTCATCCCAATGGGACCCACTGAAGAGGGAGTTTCAGAATTACAAGTCCCTAAATGTGGTAGGCACTATCCGGTTCGTAAGTAACTTCGTCATACACGCGGACGAGCCGCGATTTACAGGCTCCCATTGGACGATCGTTGAAGTTGGGCGTTTACTTCCGGTTCTATGGTCCCATGTAAACGGCGATCAAAGCATGTAACTCTACGTGCAGTGCATGTACGGTCATGTACAATGGCGTCACGCTTACGAACCGGATATCGACCTTTTGACCCCTGCCCCCTTCAGTCTCTTTACCTTCTATTTGTATGTTTGAATTTTGGTTGAGTAGTTGAGGATGCCAGCAGTTTGTTCTCAGCAGACCGGTGGCAAGAAAATGTGCTATATGGATGCGAGGACAGAAAAGCGTCCTTCCCACATCTCCTCACTTTGTTCTTCTTTGACACAAGTTTGGCATTTGAGTGGTCGTAGACGACAGTTGTTGTCTTGATGACTTCATCCAACTGCCGAATAGTCTTCAAAGGCATCTTCTTTATGTGGGTCTGCAAACAGTAATTTCTTATTAGAATATGAAATCGGTATCATACATATATGCTTTATAATGGCATATGATCTCTTAATTTGCTGAGTCAAAGAATACTTAAAAGTGTACATTTTGCCGGCTTGGTTTATTTCATGAGGTTCTGCTTCCAATAAACTGATTTTACAAAATAATTTTCATTTATAAAACTAACTAACAAGAACCCTTTCAAGGGTCCCTGTCCTCTCTTGTTCCAACGCACCAGGAAATGGAAATGTAGACAAAGGGTTTCTAACTCAAGAGAAGCTTAAGTTTCAAGAATGTTTATCTCCCAAGGCTTTTTTCTTTGGGAATCAAAATCCTATCGAATTTGACACTTGTACCTCGGTACATGTCCCAAAAGGGCCGCTTGTACTTTCAACCGCCAGACTTGCCTGTGCCTAATAAATACTTTATTGGTGAAACGAAAGGTATAGCTACAGCTTTTCCAAAATACGGCAGGTTGCAAAAGATAACAAGCATATACAACAATTTATACACGAGAGAAAAAAACGTAGATATTTCAATACATATACTAGGCCCTGCAGGGTGAATCCAACAAAAAGACTTGCACGGAAGTGCAGAAGGCCTATTTATTGACCAATCACCGGAAATAGCACCACATGAAGGAGGAGCCTGGTGGCCCCACCGAGTAACAAAAACGCCATCTGCGCTCTGACCGTTTTCCATAAATACCAATCCCCTCCCATTTAAAAATCTGAGTAAGACACTATGTATTTTGCCAAGTTGAGGTACTTCACTTCAAACCTTAACTGGGCCAGACTCTAAAACGGCAACAATGGGGTTAGTCTTCATTATTCTCTTCTTTTACGACAGTATTTTACAAGTCGCTATACACTTTCTTTGAATAAATATTTCCTTCATTACTAATCGAAATGCACTTTGACGAAAAATGGAAATTTGTAAGCTTTTGTGTTACTTCAAGACGACAGCATAGTATGCCACACTAATCCCCTTAGCCATACACTGCTGTCAATGAACCACGCTTTTAAACCGCCAGTAAAAATATTATGACTTGTCCAACAGCTTTAGACGCTTAATAAAGGGTCGTTGGTACAAAAGAGGACAAAATGACCGGGCAGGTTACCGGTAATATTGTAAAGTACTAGGTTAGGAAAAGAATTCATATTGTGAATGTCTGAGTCGAACAGGATCCTATTCGATCTTTTTTTTTTGTATGTTTGTTTTATTTGGTTTTGTTTTTTTTCCTTTTCGTTTTCATTTTTCCGATAATGATTAGGTTTTAACAAAGTTTTAACAAGGTTCTTATTTTTGGCATTTCTTTGTTGTTTTATTCTAACACACAGCACAATCTTTTATTTACCCCTTTATTTTAATAACCTTTCTTAGGGACAAGGCTTCATTTGCTAGCTTTTTTCATGCTTCGAGTAAATCGTGCTTCTTCAATATTGTGACTGTTTTTTTTTGGGGGGGGGGGGGAGGCCCCTCCCTCTTGCCCCCTCTGCCTACTATGAAGGTGAATTTCTTCCCTGGTAAACACGTTGCTACCCAAACCCTTATCTCCTTCGTACGTGTGGGGCAGATGGCGTGCTGAACATAGTGACGACTTTTCTGTGGCGGTAAGAAGGACTGAGTTTGAAGTTGACGAGGGCCAATAGAGGGATTTCATATTAACGCCGCCTTTGCATATCCGCCTCGTAACCGAGGCTCTCTGTGTTAAAATTCGTTGCGCGCCCTCGGACTCTACACAGTATACCTGCAGATACACGACCATCACAGGTATGTTAGTTTGCGGTAAATCGCCGTTATTTATTTTTTTTTTTTAGATGTTAGGACTTCTTATGTTCTGACTGCATACACATAACTCCAAATAAATGCAGCCAGAGTTGGTTGTCTGTCGATAAAATTATCAGGACACTACTGTGAAATTTTGCTCGTTTTGATCCTTTAATTTTTTGTTGATCGGTGTAAAATGTACGGAAGCTCGTTAGTGCCAATTTGAGGTTACTCCAGTTAGCAAGAGTAGGATGCCTGCGCATCATACCCAGGTGCAGGAGTACACTCTCGCTGTCGGACCCGGGGGTCAAACTCCAGCCATTCGAACGCTCAATCCTGGACAACCCGTAGTAGGTCAAACGTCATTTTCGGGTCCTTAAGCTTACGATGATACAACGAATTGCTGCCAAAAATGCAATATGTGATCATGACTTAAACCAAGAGAGAAGTGCTAGCTAACGAGTTTGCGTAATGTCATGCTTAGCTTTCCTCCATTACAGTTTTACATGATATCACTTACTCTGCTCTCACAAGGGTGCGCTCGCCCGGCTGGAGTGCGACCCGCGGGTCAGCGGAAAATACCTCCGTTAACGGGGGAGTATACTCCTGCGTCTGGGTATAATACACATACAACCTACTCTTGTTAACCGTAGTAACCGCGTAACGTGCCCCGAATGTGCGTTGAACTATTGCGTTATTTCGCAATACTATTAAGTTATTTTGCAATCTCATTGGGTTACTGCGCAACAGAAATATTTTTTGCATTGTTCAAATTGGCACAGACCAACCTCCGTAGTACAAAGGTTCAGTCGCATGTATCTTGAAATAATAGGTACCGATATTTACCAGGTGAATTTTGGGCTTTTCAGCAAAAACCATCGGAAACTAATATGAGGAGAGTCAAAGTCGAGGTTTTCAACGTTTCATCGGGCCAGAGATTAACTTTATACATGTAATACCGACAAGTAACATGGGCTTAGGATCACATCAACTCTCAAGCTGCATGTGTAAGACTCTTCCACCAAAATTTGCAGCCTGAAAATTCTGAATTTTAACAGATCTTTAAGTACACGTATTTTGTGTCTTGACTCCTTACTTTCAATTGTCTGGTCGTAATACGACTAATAAACGTAAGAAGTGGGCACAGCGTCACTTTATTGCAGACAGCGATTAGGCCTACGCATCGTGCATATCTCGCCACGCCATTGTCAATGTGCGTGTGAAGCTGACACACACAGCCTTGTTTCCAAACTCGGAAGCGCGCAGATCGATGCTAAACGCGTCGTATTGGGATCCCTCTAGTGCTGGTATGCTTTCAAAAGAAACGACAAAACACTGAGTGCTCATTGACTGTGCGTGAGTATAAGCACATGCAGGCCTATCATCTGTACGAGCATCTTCTGTTTTTCAATGGACAGGCCCCCTAGCGGATTGCAGTGTCATGGAGGCAAGTAAGGGCCACACGCAAACATGTTTTTCTTTTTCAATACTGGTATCTTGCCACGGCGAGTTACTATCTTGCCGTGGCAAATTCTCAACATGTTCAAACAGATGGCCCTTCTCAGCTTCCGTAGAACATTGCAATACGACACATTCGCGTCAAAGAGGGCGAGGGTCATGGTCATCATAACACATGCATATGTGGACAGACTACGGGTGCATTCCGCCGAATCGTTGTATTTTTTTCCCTTGAGCTCATTTTGTGATCCCACTGGTTTTTTAAATAAGACATGCTAAATCAGGAGGGATCATAGAAATATTTCGACAAATCCCGACTTTGGGACTGGTAGAGTTTCGAGTTCTGGGTATTTCTTTCACCAAAAGCTTCAACCTGGGGGCTAAAGGTGGGCGGCGATACATTCAGAGCCGAGTGTATAGTTTTACTATTATTTTGGGAGCATCTTCGGGGAAAAGTGAATTTAAAAAAAATTGTGTGGCTAACCCCAATTAAACTGAAACAAAAATTAACTTCAGGTCATAATCTTGACTTTCCAGTGTAAAAAAAGAGGCCATCCTCTTCCCAAGAGTCAACAAGCGGCGCTATTTCAGTTTGATTTTGCACATTTGTTATGGCGCGAATGTAGTGCAACTTTGAGGAAAGATTTCCCATATAATTCTGTCTTTCTGTGCTGGCACTTTCTAATGCTGAATCTCATCTAACTTTGGGCCAGCTGTTTCAAAATTCATGACGAACCTAATTTCATGAATTATGATATCAATGATACGGCCTGGATTTATATTAACCACTTTGCTGTGATCAAAAGGCATGCGCAAGCACGTTGTTTCCAGGAGCAATGCGTCGCTTATCTTCCAAAATGGCGCCATATTACCCACAGAGCATTGCGCACTGAGATTGAGAATAGGCTTATCGCAGTTCCCTTGCTTGCAAAACAGTAGCTACTTTTGATCACAAATTATTTTTCTGTTCATCCTAGAGGAGGTCTTTCTATCACTCGGCCCACTAGCTGGAATGTTTGAAGGCCATTTTTTACTCCAGATGTCGCACCAACTCAAGTATCGATCCAATCAAATCCAAAATATTAAAATATCGAGCTATTTCCGGGTTGGTATTTTCTGCATACATATATTTACAAAATTGAAAATCAACACACAGGTTTACTTTTAGCAATACTATAGTGGCATACATGCCACCGTGTTGTAAGAGTGACTTAGGCCTCCTTACCTCCTACCTGAAAGTCAGGATGAGTGAGGCACCTTTTCGTCGGAGAAGAGATTCAGTAGTACTGTTTCCGATACTGATGCAGTTAAAGGTGGACGGTTGCTTACTATAGTAGAAGGACCACTAGATGGTGGTTTACATGCAGTTAGTCAGGTTTTATTTGCAGAACCACTATTTGCAATAAAAAAAACTTAGCTCTTCCTCTAGGAAATATGCTCCTTCAGGTACTTGCATACAGCGACGAAAACTTTTCTTGTTGGATCTCGGCATCAATGTAAAAAGGCCGTCCAAAATAATCCTCCTATTCTAAACCGAGGAATGCCAATTTGCTCCTGTGAAAGAGGGCGCCCTTCCACAATGCGATCAACTCAATGATCTGTAAAAATTATTTTGTGCATAAAGCAAATTTGTGTGAGATTATTGTGTGCGTTGGGGTAACAAAGACCATGCTTCTCTGAAACAAAGCTTTGCATTCATGGCTTGGCCTATGGATGGGACTTTCTGTAGAATTCTGCCAAACTTGATGTGTTAGTAAGCGCCATACATTAGACACATGAGGGTGTTTTATCGGAACTTAAACTTGACAATAAAAAAAATCCGAATCCTTGTTATACAGCTTACTTAGTAGACCTCTGTTTACGGTTTATGCAAATACTTTGTAGGTTGCGCAAATCATCGGCAGGTGCATATTGTGAGACATCCCTGCCCTCCGATTTCTTGGGATTGCTCTGGCGAGAAAATGGTATCGTCTTTAAATTTGAAGATTGCAAATGCGCAGAAATGCATTTTATGACAAAAACGATGCATTATAATGACATGTGCAATATGAATGTAAACTTTGTTTTATTTTTCTTTGCACTGTGCTTTCGCATAGAAGGCCCACAGATTTGCTGGTGATCAAACACCAGAGCGTTTACAGCCTGGCGGCAAATGCCATATTAACCGAAGGGGTGTTTGACAGATTAACATTAAACTGTTGAACAAAACGTCGGAAGGAGACTAGAAGTTGGCAACGAGCCAAGTACTTCCTTATAAATTCGCCGCCCTATACTTTTTGAACATGATTTTTTGGATACACCTACTCTAACATAAACACTCATGTGAAAATAACAGCAGAAATTTCGTCATTTAAAAGTCAGCTGTGTATTTATGTCCTGGACAGACAAATATATCAAAGTGATAAAGCGTGATCAAAACATTCAAAAACAATAGCAACATCTGAGCATGTCTGTTACAACAAGCATGAGGTGTAATGACGCGCACTAGTTCAACGTTTTTTTAACAAAACAAAATTAACTTTTGACCTACCACTGATGACTTGCTGCAACCTATCATGAACCCGAATAGGCCGTGATCCTTCACCCGTTGTAGGATTAAGGACTGAATTGGGGTGATTTCAGTGGTGTATTTTCAATTACCATTGTAGAGCAAGATAAGCTATGGAAATTTTAAATCAATTCGTCTATTGAATGGTTTGCAGAAAGTAAAACTCCCATCGCTTTCTGACGTACAAGGCACAACTTTCGAAAATTTGAACCAATACTTCAGAAGTTAAAGTTTAGATGTTTACTCTACAGTTGAAATGTGCTTTCATGGACCACAGGGATTTGACCGGTGCATTTATTCAGTTGAATCTAAAATGTACAATCAGGAGTCTTTTCTCGCTACTTATATCATAAATAACCTCAGGACTACGAAACTTTTAGTTTGTACATAGTAAATATCGATACACTCCGATACACGATGTCGGACTGCTGCTATAAAGAGAACGTAAAGAGAAACCCCATGCTCGTATGGCGGAATTTCTGTTTGGGATTTCATGAAAAACATCTCCTTTCCGAAAACAGATATTATTAAATGTACACATATGCGTCTATTGGATGAATTCTTTATACACTTCTAGCCATATGTCAAAAGGTACTTTGAATTATCGCTTGATTTTATATTGTACACGTTTGCCCAACCAGTTTTACTAATGACTACAATATACAAAATTTTAGTTCAGTAATTCTCTGACATCTTTGAACCACTTGCTTTCGGGATCAAAATAAGCGTAACTCCAGGCAATGGGCTACAGGTTTGATTCGCTGCATAATAAGTACATATAACTTGATGAGATATATTTTTTCTAAATAGCACCTCTAGGTAAAACATGTTTTCTCTGATTTCATCTGTGCAAATAAATATGGAAGGGTTCAAATCGAACACAGTGCCATTTGTCTTTGGAGATCTATTATAACAAGACGAAAAGGGTTTTTTCTCTGTTCATGCCAAGATGCCAATTCTGAATATAGATTGCACCATTGAAGAGAAAACAGCGAAAATGAGGGGACCCCCCGCTCTGTGTTCTAGACTCATGACTTCACCCGGGGCCAAATTGGCTCTTGATGAGGAGCTGATTTGATCTATCCACTCCAAGGATCGCTTCAGCGTCTTTGCGCCAGACTGCAACGTTAACGAATGCTCCCCTAGACACGTGTTGCCTTTTTAAGCGCCAGAATTTTAGGAAGAGTGCTTTCATTTTCTTTCGAGGGAGAGTGATCTTTCATGGATGAAGCAAATTCACTTCTCTGAAAAGTAAATCTCAGAAATATATGTCCCCCCTCAATCAAAGACCCAAATACCCAACTGACGGCATGGCATTGTGCACCAATCATCTTTGTGGGGCTTGCCAGCGACACCTCTTTAATAAATACACGCAGTCGAGGATTAGCTCAATCTGGTTCGAAATCTACGTACAGCGGTAGAACTACGTGTATTTTACTTTAATTTTCGGACTGTGAGTGGCTTAACCCTTTTTTTCAAGAAGCCAACCTATCAATTGCTTTTTTGGCATTTGTCGACGTTCTTCGTATAATCACACTAGACTGAATGGATTCCTTAGAATGCCTGCGTTTCTTGTGTTTCCGTACGATTTTTTCTTTTTCATCTGATTGGTGACAGGCGACTTCAGTTTAATAAGCAGGGGGCGCTTGAAGAAGACCGAAGCAACCAAGATGTTGTAGGGTGAACATATCGAAATCCGAAGTCAATACTTTTACCGTAAGTACAAATGTGTTGCTGATCTGTTTCTGTCAGTGAACAGTCACTCAGGTTCAGCCAAGGAACATATTTCATTGTTTCAAACTGGGAGCCCATGTCTCTGCATCACCGCCCAGAGACCGATTTCCTTTCAGACTGAGCGTTGCCAGTCTTAGCAATCGACTCACTGCTGCAGCAAGGTGTTCAATGTCTGTACTGCGCAATGAGCAGTCTTGGAGTTTTAACTACCTGTCGACAGGTAAGGAGGCCTACTTGTAGCGCCTTGTCAAGAACGTCTTTCTCAAACTCTCTTTCCTCAAATGAAAGCCTGTTCTTCTGGGAACTAAAACCAGACAGGGCCATCATTCCAAGGGAAATCACTACTTGAGAAATTTCTCCTTATGACGTGTCTGAGTGTCCCGTAAATATGTATTTCAGTGCTTCATCCAAAAGACGTGCCACTGTTTCGGGCAGTGCCGAGTCTCTCGATATTAAACACAACAAGGGTAGCATCGTCCAGCTCTTAGCCAAACCAGAGAGAAGTTCTGACGATCGGAATTTGCTCTCGGAGATTCTCAGCCTGAGCAGGTTCCTCTGGATGAAATGTTCTCACATACTCCTCAATATCCTGCTCAGTGATCCCTGACACCGTCAAATGAAGGAATGGCTCTTGGGCTAGTGATTGGTCCAGCAGTCTGCGAAAGTTAGAGGGATTAGTGCTCACTAGGACCTGTATGCCCCTTGCTGCAGCCTGATGGAGGATCTTAATAATGGAGCCACATTTTGTCTCATCAGGGTACTGGGTTAGGAACTCGTCAAACCCATGGAGAATGAGAAGGACCTTGTTTGGATTGGCGTCGATAAACAAAACCAAGTCAGTTCTCTTGACATCTGTACGTTGGCTCAGCAGTTGATCATAAATTGCGTCAACAAAGTCAGACTCTTGGTGAAAGTCTACCATTTTCAGAGCTGCAACAAACTTAAATTTCTGCAGCACAGGACTGGAACCAGCTGCCCAATCGTATGTAATGTTTTCCAACAGAAAGGACTTGTCTTTGTCATCCCCCCCAGTGAGAAAGACCACTCCACATGGATCACCGTCTTGGTTTTTCCATCGGAAAATATCTTCATAGGTTAGTAAGCTTTTGCCACGCTTTTCAGACAGGAGCTTCGGCGTAACCATTTTCGTCTTATCGTCCACCCATTTCATCATTTGTGCATAGCTACCTCTTGTTTTGTACAATGTCTTTAATTCCTCTTCGCATCTATCAGCAACATGTTCGGCTGGATCGCCCCTGCAAGCCGTTCCTTCTGAGTTAGGGTCTCCAATCTGCTTTTTGGGCGGCAAATCCGTAATGCCTCTTTTGCCCTGTTCACCATCTGTGCAGTAAACAGATGCTGAATCACACAAATGCCTGCTTTTGGACATTCATTTAATAAAGCGAAAATGTGCAGTACTTGCATAATTCCAAATAAAAACTGGAAAATTAGTATTTTCCGTTAAAACGTCTCTTCTGAAAGTTCACGAGTAAGTAACTAGATCTTTTTCCAGTGGGGAACTTGCCCGTTAAAGCGAATGTAAAAATCAGACTGCTAAGCAATGTGGTAACTACCGTTATTCTGGGCATTTACCAAATCCTCATTGTCCACACAAATCAATTGAATTGCCCTCATATTTCGTAAGGAAGATTTCTTTTCCTGGTTTTTAATCATGTAAATTATTCGATCATCTGTAAATAGCTACCTGCGGTCATATGTGATGCCTTAGTTGCCTCGTCTGATTGACCAGCAGCTTGCCGGGGGGGATTGGCACTTGCAGTCGTCTTAACGAAGTCGTCTTTTCCAAATTGCTCTGGCTGCATTGCCTTACGGCTTGCATCCTGCCCATTACCTGTGCACCAATGAGAGAATCAGGAGAAGTGTTCACGTTTTCCATTGTCAGAGTTTCTTTATATATTCAGGTAACTTTTTATTTTCAAATCAATATAATTCACAAACGCCTGCAGTGCCCAAGCCCTAAATGAAAAAGTCTAAAGTTGAATAATTATCATAATTAATGAAAACCTCTTTCCCATGCATCTTATAACGATCAGTCTCGGAGTTCTGTGGTGTATATTAAAGAAATTAACAAGAAACGGCCACCTTTATTATTTCACCAGTACTTTCTAAACTGAAATGTATTTGGAAACTCAAAAAACATGTATACTTACCTTCATACTTGGTACTTTCCAGATCTTTAAAGAATATACAGGCCTGTTTATAGTCACTTTCTGATATAGTCACTTCTTGAGTCACTTCATCTGTGATGAAAGTCTCCGATAGCTTCTTTGCGAGTTCTCCAGTGGTATACTTATGCCATAAACTTTCCAAGCCGTCTTGACTCTCGACACAAATGGTGAACGTCATTTGTCCCGTCTCAACTTTGTACAGATTAGCCTGACTTTCCTGAAGAATTTTGCCGATTTTCTCTTCAACATCCATTTGGCTGAATGGAAACCTTAAAACCTTTGCAACCTTCGAAACCTTTGCCGAAGCATCATCCATTTTTGTCTTCCATGTCATTGATATTTTCACTCGTAAAAGGGGTCGTTCTGTTGAGAGAAAATCGTATTTTTAGAATATGCTTTGTAAACTCAGTTTAATCCATCGTTCGCTCTTACAAAGTTCGTTTTTGTGAAAATTTTACAACAGGGTTTCCACATAAAAATGTACCGAAATAAAAATTACTTTAATGGAAAAACTATGTTAAATATAGGAAAGAGAAGTCTCTAGAAAGAGCAATATGTCCTCTTCATAGAGATTTTCAGCATGTGAGGTTATTGACACATATGAGTGAACAAAACAACAGAAATGTGACAAGTTGCATAGTTTGAAATGATAAAATGGGCAGTGACGTGTTATACGAAGACGTCAGATGTGCATTGACAGGAATGGCGGCCATGTGGTGGGCACAGAATATTAAATTAACTTATGGGGTAAGTGGGGAAAAAGCAGATTAGAATGATTTAGGTAAATACCTGTTTTCAAGAGTGTGTTCTTAAAGCTAAGGAATTTGGTATTCTACATTATTGCATAGTTGAGCCTTTTATGCAAACCTATCACAGTGTCGATTTTGGTACCCTTAATTTAACATCGGCCTAGTTTGGTCTGTCATCTGTGCCAATAACATCACAAGCTTTAACGTTGCGAAGATGACATACTGATTTATCTAGAGGTATATCTCTATAAGTACTTATATTTCTATTGTCATTCGGTACACTTTTCATGTGGATACCTTGTATTTTGTTTTAAATTCAGGATACATCAACACTGTATATTTTCCGTACCTGGGATTACTGAACTGTTTAATTGGGTATGTGGATTTTAAAATAGTTTCCCAACATTTATGTCCAAAAACAGCAAAACAGTTGCTATTATGTTTAAATTGAAAGGAGTCAGAAATACTTCATCCTTTTTTTTCTCCACCAAACATAATTTTCAATCCTGTCTCGTAAGTTGGTCTCGCAATAATGAATTTCTGCAAACACTCGTGCATCCTATATCTTCTGTTTCCCATAATTCCCACCAACAAACTCTACAGCCAGGAAGGAAGAAAAGAGCTGGTAGAAAATGCATGAACTTGTGTATCATTTTATTTCTTTACCAAAGTACAGATAATTCTTACCAAATAGGCCCCCTGCCACGTCGCCTCGTCCAATGTTCGTAATAGCTTTGCTCAATATTTGTCTTACTTCCTCGTTATTTCCCTGCCTTTTCAACCAAGTATCTAACACTGAGGAACATCGCCTCACATTGTCTTGGTTCTCATGCTGGAATGCTGTAATCTCCAACTCTGAAAAACCCAAGATGCTGGCAAGTTTCTGCCACTCGTCAGAAATCCTTTCACAGAGCCTTGAGATGCACCAAGCATTCAGTTCTGGTTTTCCTGCGGGAAATGACAATAAGACATCAAACTAGAAAGATGATCAGGACGCGGTCTTTGGTTGTTATTGCATATCCCATAATCATCCCATTAAATATTATGCTAATTGGTCAAGTGTATGACGTTTTCCGGGTTTTTAAACTGCCTCAAAACAAACCGGTTCTCTTGGCTGCCTCAGTCGCTTGTTGAGTTGGCCAAGGGTAAACCCGAAGCTCTATCAACAGAGACAGTTGCAGTACATTGAAAGAGGTTGCTTATGACCGCCTCCATAAGGCCTCTAAAAGTTTACAACATATCTACCAGTTTTTCTTTCCCGTAACTGCTTTCGAGGACTTCCCTTTCTTCCTTTGTCATGCAGAACTGGACAACACATCAGAGAAAAAGAGAACTCTATTTTATGAACTGCATTTCAGGTGAAAAGAAAATCATTGATTACGTTCTCTTATATTATTGTGATATACCAAACTAATCAGTCACTTGGAAGTCAGAGTAGTTGCTATCCATACACTTGTAAACCGTGTGATTAGAGAAAAAAGTTAATGTGTACCAATAGTTGCTAGTTTCTTGTGTCTGTAGGGGAGGGACTTGCCCAAAACCTTCGATTGAAAATTGGTGACCAAAGTGTCATCCACTTTAAAAAGTCCTTTATTTTAAAATGTAAACAAGGGGTAAGTATTTTCGTCTGATAAAGGTTCGTAGTAGAGCATGACTAAAACCACCCAACACTTTACTCGTTACATTTCACAACTTCATTGATGTTCTTTGATAGATTTAGAAGATTCTGCTTTTCAAGAACTCTGACATACGTCCACTTCGCAATTGCAAGATGTTGGATTGTGGACAGAAAATTTAAACACCATATTGAACTTCATCATTGTTTTTATGCAAAGCATTTCTTTGCAAATGCTAACGAAGTGACCATTATTCATCCCACTGTGTATATGTCTATACAACCTTTTACTTTTTCAACTACTTTTTGTTAAATAGAATGCCTTTATTTCGGCTTTCTGTTTATTCTTTCAAAAGTAAGAAGTATAGAAGGTAAAAATAGGTGCGAAAGATGAAAGACCTTAAGTTATTGAATTACCTGAACTTTTTCCTCGCACGTTGAAATTAAAGTGAAGAGTGGAATTCACAAAGGTAGGGTTACGTGCACCAGAAACGTTTATGGCACCCACGGAAGCCGGTTGGGGAGATCTATGACTGTGTACAGCTGATATCGCTGATAATGTTCCCTGGGGGGTAGCTGAATCGATGATACTCTGAAAATAGCTCGGGCTAAGCTTTTCCTGCTGGTCCAAGGTTGACAGTTCACTGTCCGTTTCCTCTTGTAGCTCAGCCTGACCTGTGCGTAGATCGTCCATCTGCGTCTGTGTTGGACTCTTGTTTAGTTGTTTCTCCGCCCGTTTCCTGTCTTGATCATAAGCGTATTCTTGCATCAGCTGATGCTCCCTTAATACTGCAGTCCTTTTATGTTTGCTCTGTCCTTTCCCTTCGTTGTCTTGTTTCTTTGGCTGCCGTCTATTTAAACCGCTAGCATGATATCTTAATGCTTGTTCCTCTCTCGATGTCCGTGACCGCGTGTGTTGTTTGTGTATTCCTACGTCATCTTGTTTCTTTAGATCAGTTGTGTCCAAATTACCAGCTTGGTCATGTTCCAGTCTTTCACACCTATTTGATGTCGTTGACACTGTTTTTAAGCTCTCTTCCTTACATGTTTCTGCAAGATGAGGCAATGAAAGAGTTAAACACAATTTGGTTACGACACAATTTGTTGCCATTTCAGTGCATTTTCTGTACATACATGTAAAATCGCTAATTTGGGGTAAACAGTTTTGCTCTGCATTTTCAGCAACTGCAACCTTGTCCCCAGTGGTAACGTTTTGTCCAGCTTGGCCTCTAAATCTGACCCTTAGGAAAAACTGACTTCACGTACAACACGGAAGTAATTTACTTTGCGTATTTGGTGTTTATAATATTTAACTTGTACTCCGTGTTTTCATGTTAGCTGTAAAATTATTACTTCAATTTTGCTAGCTAAAGCATTCATTCTTCTAAGACAATTTTAGTGAAATGATATGCAATTTGAATAAGTAAAATGTATCTCAAGCTGTTCTGCATTCTTGTTATTCATGGTGTAAGAATATAAAAATAATATAAAAGACAAAATAAAAAACGGATTCCTGTTGTTATGGGGTCCCTGGGTTTTGTACACCCCTGAAGGCAAATGTTACCCGCTCTTGGCTTATCCTCGGATGCCATTGCCCCGCCAGGTTTGCAAAACACATACAACCCCTTCAAAATAGCCAGCAAATGTGTAATAAACAATACGTCACACTGCACTTTTACTATAACGAGCCCAGGGCGGTTTAGAGCACGATTTTTGAAATGGGCATTAGCAGGCAAATGTCCGCAAAAAGTGGGAGCAATTGTTTGATGGGAAAACAAGGTGGAATTCAGGTTATCCTCCGCAAAGGTGTCACACATTAACTTTTGTACATATGCAGGGCCTTTAATGGTGAAGAAGTGACGGTGAGGACAGTAATTCTATAGCCTACCACTGCGTACTACTGGTACTTTTTTTTGTTTTCAACGAAGATTGTTCAAAACCTTACCATTACAATGTTCTACGAAAGTTTCTGAAATGTTACCAGCATGCATAAAATGTTATTGTTTAGTAGTCTTGGGGTTTTTCCAGAGTTCGGCACTTATAAAGTTTTATCTCTGCTTTTTAATCACGGGCTATAGGTTTCCATACACAGTTCTTGCAGATTTGTTATATACTTAACGAGTTTGTAATATGACACGAGTCACAGGGTAACCTTTTAATAATGAAGATTGACAAGAATATGATATAAAATCAGTGATGTGAAACATGTAATTGCAGAACTTTTGGTAACTGAGTACTTTCTTCAGGGCAAGCAGAGTCAGTTCTGAATGAACGCAGAAAAATTCACGCTTGTTCCCCCTGGAAGCACCGTTCATAGTTCGAAATGACGCGCTGCTTCAGTTCCATACGCTGTATACATCGGTTGATGCTTTCTGCAGGATGCAGACGCTTACGTCACCGAAAGTATGTGGCGGCGTGCAAAACTGTTGCGCAACAGTGAGACCAGGTGTTTGTTGGCGCTCACTGCGCAAATCGGTCACCAAGGCGACGCCTGGTCACTTCGACGTACACAGCGACGACATGTAATGCAATAAACCACATTACTTGTAATGACATATGCAGCAAGGTATGAGACGGAGAGAACCCCCACCCCCTGCTTTGTGTTGGTCATTGTCTCGCAGGAATCTGGGGAATTCCTTTCAGACATCTTGGGGGTGTGTGTGTTAAGTAACAATAGTCTGGAATGTGTATAGGGATTGGACATGTCGGGGGGGGGACCCCTCGATCTCATTTCTTGCTGGGTATGTGTAATGAATGTATGATCCCCGCGTATTCTGTAGCTACCGTAAGGGCCGACGACCGACGGGCTGCTATGTAGGGGCAGGTGTTACATCTGGGGTGCTGGCAAGGGGAATTACTGCCTGATTTTGGCGGCAAGACAGAATCTAACTTGGAACGTGCAACCAAGTAACCGACAGAACGATCGCGCCTAAACGCGCAAATCGGGGGATTCGGTGAAAATGGAAGCTGTGGCTGCATCATTTCATTTCATTAATGTTTGTCGTAAAAACCGACTTTACGTGCTAGTCGCTGGGCAGGCTACATCCATGTATTACAGTCTATTATTATATCGTAGCCATATCAACGCTGACAACACCCCCTGGGGACAAACTAAATAAAAGAAAGGTTTACCTCTGAACAAAGGTACTTCCGCTTCGCTGACGATGATGAAAAATTTCTACAGGAATGTCAGGTGTTTGTTCAGACCAACGGATAGCTTAGATTTACATAAAAAGAAACAGTAAGCCTGCTGTTTACCATAGAGTTTCCTGGTACACTTCCCTAAAAATTTCACACAATAGGACAGCCCATTCCTAGTTACTTCCAAGGACCAAACAATAAGTAGATTTTACTAGTTTAAAGTCTTTCGAAGACTGAGGTCATTCAAACTGTGTCATGGGTGAACTGAAAACTTGAAGTCTGATATAGATTGAGCTTGAATTTAAAAGCACATTCAAAATTTCACTACTGGGATAAATTTGGCTTAATTATATAAATTAGAAAAAGATGCCGGAAACCTTAAAGAGAAGAAATCAGGGTTGGTGTTCTTTTTATTCCTGCCTACAATTCTCGTTCATAAATGCATTTTCAGTTCCCCTGCATTGCCCTACCCAGTAAGACCCCTCTTGAATTTCTGCATTTCGGTGCAAAAATTCAAAATAGAGACATCTCAATTGTTAATAGAGATATCGCTTTTAACTCTTTTGTTAATAGAGATATCGCTGTTGTTAATAGGGATACATCTATTGTTAATAGAGATATCGCTGTTGTTTATAGGGATACATCTATTGTTAATAGAGATATCGCTGCTGTTAATAGGGATACATCTATTGTTAATAGAGATATCTATTTTAGAAACAATTATTGTTAATAGATATATCTCTATTTCAGATTACTTGTCAACGTTACACGCCATACCGTATTAATGATACCGTATTACTAAACCAACCTACAGGTCTCCTCTCGACATTGCCGTGGATTAATGATTCAATTCCTTTGGGCAAAGGAAAGTAACGCAATGTACCTTTTGCAACCTTAATTTACATTAAGTAAGATATTGTACACTGAGTTATCTGATTGTGCATAAACATAACAGTTTGAATTCCATTGACGAAATACACTGTTGCTATACCTCGTGATTTGGGGCAAGCTTTCGCTTAGCGACCACCATCTCTGGAATGGACTGGCTCTTTGTGTCTTTCTCATCCATTGAAAACAAGCACCGGTGCAAGGCGGCATCTCTTATGTAACTGAGCAAAAGCTTGCCCCGAATCACGAGGTACGGCAACAGTGTGTTCAGTGTAGAGAGTTCAAATAGTAACGCTCACATGAATTAACAAAAAATTAATGTACCAGATTTTATTCAAATTTTACTGCATTGCTGCAGGCGGCTACGTGCCCCACACGAGTATGTTCAGGCCCCACGGAGACACCGTTCATCACAAGCGCACATGAACCTTTCATTTTTGAGAGTTTAAAAAGCCAACCTTGGTGCACTGATTTCATAAACTTGTTTTAAAAGAAAAATACGGATACAATTCATAATTCTTAGAGCATATCGGGTTACGTCAAAATTGTTCTGTCAATAACAGTGCACACAAATTCAATATCATTTTGTACGCAGTTCTTCGCACCAACATTGTGTAACCAAATACTATGATGATGATTTTCCGTTAAGAAATATATTTTTTCTATACGGATACTATTTGATGACGTAGATTTATATCATTAAATTAGACACATTTCTTGTTCATCACTTCCAATGCAATAGATAAAGACCGGTACCGTATTCTTACGTCAAAACTGTTTAACATGTACTTGTACTGGTCAGACGTACACATGTAAGCACACGGTCATTATTGCACTTGACCCGTTACCTTTCTCTGTGATGATGCTACAAATATGTTCTTATAAATGTACGGTTCACAGGGATCCTCATTTCTGTCAATCACTCAATAACTTCGAACCGTGACGATTCAGCTTATTTGAAAATCGATTAATTGTAAATTAGATCTGTGACAGATTTTTCCTTTACAAAAATGTCTGGATTCATATGACTTGTCAAGAAACTTACTTTTCAAGGAATTGCTTATAGGGCTGATTCCAAGTGTTTGCATGCGATCGATTCAGACAGTCTTCTGCTTCTTATAAGTCAAATTTTTATATCAGGGAAACTCATTTTACAATTGAAATTGATCGCCAACATTCACTTTTTAAAATCATAAAAATAATTGGGAATTACATCAAGCCAGATTTTTCCACTGCAAGGCACAAATCAGTGTCACTGAAACATAAAGTGGTTGTTTGAATTTGTATGTATAATTTGATAATTTCATTATTAGTTGACAGTTTCCGGAAAATCCATTGACGCCTTATGTTGCATCGAAGAGTTGGCAATCCAACAACCTATTGCTACGAGCACGTACACAAACGCCATGATCATACTGTACTTGCACTTTAGGAAGTCATCAGATTTAACCAAAGAGAGTAATTACTTTCCTGAAAACTTTTGTTCCAGATAAAAACGTGCTTACCAAGACAAACTAGCGACACAAGAAATGGATGCAGAGAATCCCAATTCACATCAACACTGGTGAAGTAATCCAGTCATCTCATTTTTAAAAATCTTTTTACGCGAGTAAATTGGATCCAATCGGTACATTGCACAATCTGCACTCGGCTAATAATTAGTGACACGGGTAAGCTGAGTAGCCTTTTCTCAAGGCTGTGTGTGTGTAGCTGCAAAGCGACTGGACTGGAGACCAGGCAAGTGGCGCAGCCTTAAGGCCGTTCCCAACTTGATGTTGAGGTTTTTGTGGTGAATTATTCATAAGCTTTCTGATGTGCATTATGGGGATGATGCTGACGTTGGAGTGACACTAGCAAGTAGAAGTTCAAATGGTCAAAACAAAATGGCAGTGCTTGAAATATCATCCCGTGGGCAGAGACGAAAACGTCACGCCCGCGTACAGATACTTCAATAGCCTAATAACGCTGCAACGGTTTAAACTCGGCAAGGTGAAGTTTTCTAGCAGAAATGTCCAAATACTGCTCAGACAACTGACTTGAACTCACTCCCGCCGACACCTTGATACGCTCACCATTTTTCGTATACTTCAAGTTTCATAAAAGGTTAATGTATGCTTACCCCCCCCCCGCTTACGATTGGTTAGAATGTTTGCTACCCCAACGGTAGCCAAAATCGAAAAAAATAAAGAAAAGCTTAAGAAATTCCCGACAACTTGGAAAAGGCCTCGTGGCTGCGCTATTCGTGCATGTTGTCTCCGGTCCAGCCGCTTTGCAGTTACACACAAACACAGCCGCAAAGGCCTTGACGAAAGGCTATCAGCTGAGCTGAACCCCTAAATTCTTTTGTTCCGTTCCAGCAACTACGGGAAAAGATTTTCTAAACATAATCGAGTCAATAAATGACCAGAGATGACAAATGCAAAAGTTCTCCACGTGTTATCCTGCAGTTTTATAATAATTCGGATGGAAAGAGCGAACTATTTTGCCGTTGGGGAAGCTCTGTGTGCGAAATTCGCCACGTTTAAAAATCATTCGCGAATGATGAAATCGGACCACGTAATACAAATTGTCCAATCCGAGACCCGAACGAAGATCGTAGGTCGAGGGTAATGACACAAAGCAGTAAACATTTTGACGTCTTGGTCAACATGTGTTTAAGGCATGTAGAATAGGTCGAATAAGGTACAAGCCATTACAAATGTCCGATAGAGAAAGTTCACCTCATCTGCATGTGCCAAAGAGTGGCTTGACATATGCAACAAAAATCGGGAAATCACCAAACCAACCGAGCGCAAGGGACTACTTCGTACTCGCGATCTGCACTGACTGTGCCTATGACGAAGCATACAAATTACATGCAACTTGCACGAGTCGCGCAATCGCCGTACAGGGGTTTTTAAACGCCTGAATGCTGCTAGAAAACGAAAGGGACACAATGATTCTCCCAATGAAATTTCATTTTCTATCTCTAACAAACTCTGGGCAAATGTAGATCAACATTTTCTTCTGGAAGATGGCATGTCTGGTGTATTGCTTGTATGTTAACTCGAATGCATCATGGAGTGAAATTCTGTATAAAATTAGGGAGTATTTTTTTCACCACCCCCTTATTTCTTTAAAAGTGAGATGAATAAAAAGGCAACAACAGGTTTCCCAAAAGAATCAAAACTGTTTTGCTCCCTGATTATTGGCTCTAAAAATAACAGAAAACTCAGTTACAATAATTTTCCAAATGTAAACAGTGAACAATTTTGGCAAGTCTTAGTTGAGGTCGATCCATAATCCTTTTCACTATCCGTAATTGCACGCATGCACGCAAACGGCCTCTGCAGCAAGGGCCCTTATATATGGACAGGGTGCGATTTTGATAATTTTTTCCCCAGGTTTTGTGGCTTTCTTAATTTTTTTCTTCAGAAACTTCCATTAACTTGTTTTTGATGATAGTTTCTAATCTAAGCGGGATTTTTAGTGCCCTGTAAAAAGACTTTATATTCGTGATTTTTCCTGTGCGCACGAGATCGTCGTTTCTTAGTATGGCCCTTCCATCATAATGTCATCTTTAGTGTTCTCAGAGACAACCTATGCCTTTGTAATGTACCGATGTTCAATGTACATGTACTGTAAGTACTTAGCTTACCATTGAACCTGGTCATATAGTTTGGAGTAATATCGAAAGAAATGGTCTCCAGATGTTTCTTTTTAGGATTGTACGACAAGGCAAAGTGCGGATTCCAAAGAGACAGGGATTTTGTTCTTCAGATTTCCGAAGTGCAGAAAGCAGGGAAGCGATCATTGAACATAAGAACGTGTTTAAAAATGCGCAAAATTGCAAGACGTCGTGAAAATAATGGGAGGTTCAGTGTTTT